GGGAGGGAGTGAGAGTTAGGTTCAGTCTCCCATTTGATTGATCTGCTACATCGTGGCCTAAGGTGCAGGAGGGGATAGTCATTCTAGACTCTTATTTGAAGCCTTTGCTTCTTCTCAGTAGACAAATGATAAGCAATAGTTACTCCTATTCTTTCAAATTGCCTTGTATATCCTTTTTGCCCCTTGTCTTTCGTTTCTAGCGGCGCGACTTTCAAACAAATAGTGTACCTTTTCTTTCTAATTGCGAAAGTGAGCGTTTTTGAATTCTGTACCCACCAAGTTGCTCAGTGGAAACAGACGAATGCTTTTAAAGGCTTATTGTCGTAAATATTTCTGACGGCCTTCACTTATGCAAATATTGTAGTTGTCCTGGCTCGGCTGGCGATTTGCCCCTAGAAGTTTTTTGCGTTTGCTTTACAAGACCGATGTCCATTACTGATACAAGCGCAAAGGTAAGTTCGAAGAAGCGGTTGCGAATAGGAATATGTGATGGCAGTTATAATAATTTTATTCGCCTGAAAATCCAAAAGGTAAGTTTTATAAAAATTTTATTTCAGCGATCACCTCTCATCTCAACGGGCATCCTTGTTTGTTCTATTTTTTTTTCCTTTACGATGGACTTTTGTACTTGAAACACAATCGAAGCTCAATGGTTCGAGTTTTAAACTTCTGAGCAAAAGGCCGCGAGTTCGAGCCTCTGGTGGTGGACCACTTGAAGTTGGATCTGACTGGCTGACAAAGGCTAATGAGCCAGAAAAGGCCATTCCAGTCTCCCTTATCCTCACCGACAATGCTATCAACTACTTTTCTACTTTAACACAGGATACTTATTACTTGGCTGCTCGAAATTGCCTTTTCTTTGTTTATTCATGCTAATTAATGACTCCATTTACTGACTCTGCCCACACATCCTAGGTGATTAAGTTCTGGTAATAACTATTCCTTTCACCCATCAACAAGTTCGCTTCTTTTTCTTCCGTTGGGTCTTGTTGTGCGGACCAGTTTTTCGCTGAAAACTGGGCCTATTTCAGACTAAAAGCATAATCTCCGCTACCATCTCCCTGTCTCTATAATTCATTAAGTTAACCCAGGCAAGAGGCTCAGGTTGTCACCCATCTAACGATGCCTGCGTCGTTATGTGGTTAGTTAGAGTGTCTCCTCGGGGGTGGGGCTGTTGTCTTATATTGTAAATGCATTTACATCTCATTGAGGGTCCCTAATTATTATAACATTTTGCCTACATACAGGTACCCCGACAGCTCCAAAGATGGCCAAATTTGAGGATACTCCCTCCTCTACCGACGCAAACGGCGTCTATCAACCCGCCATTACTTCGTCTGTCAACGCTCCACAACCTGTCGTAAGACAGTCAGTGAACGGATCCTCCCTGGAAAATGCCCTAACCTGTTCCGCTGCGTCTATGGTCGACTGGGAGTCTGACTGTCAACTAAGCCCCACATCGGCCACCTATGGACTTTATACTCTGGCCACGTTGTCGGTTAGACAGGCAGCTGAATTTGCCGAAAAGTCTGCCCAGAAGAAGAGCCCTGCTCCAGAGATGTCAGTCGTCTCCACAGCCAACACTTTCACCGCGGACTGGGCAGATGGTCCAAACGCGCGTCTGTTTGAGGGCTCCAACATCGTTGGCGTCGAGAGGATACCCCTCTCAATCTCCCCCAATGCTCCAATCGATCAGACTCCCAAGCCGCAAGGACCCCCTGTCCTCCCCGTTGTCAGAGGCCGAAATAGACGCCTTCTACCAAGAAAATTCAACAAGTGTGCAGTTATTGAGCCAGCCTCTAGTCAGCCGGCCGTTACAGCCCCCGAGA